GTCGCTTGGCTGCTCTGGGAAATTGAGGTAGAAGGCCAAGCCTGCTGCAGGTGCTATGTGGAGCTACTTGTAAGTAGGAACATCCAGCCTGGATGCTGGATGCTGCAGGCACAGCTGTCGAAGGACGCAAGGAATCTTAATTTCCTTAACCACAAATGGCAATAGCTCCTTGCTAGTCTGCAGTGATGGGAGAGCCCCGTATCCTGAGAGATGGGGAGAGATGATGTGTGTGCTCTACCTCGGCACACGATGCTGATGTGATTTTCTGTACCCCACGAGGTTCTAGCAGTGACCAAGGTGACCCTCTTCTCTTGTATCCTTGGGACTACTTGAGACCACGGGAGTGGAGGGAATTCAGAAGTGGCTGTGGTTCCTTCTAGGACTCTTGCCTCAGCTCTACAACCTCACCCTAGCCGTTGGGAGAGAGAGTTCCTCCCTGACAGTATTGAAGTCATTTCTGAGTTCCCAAAGCCTAGATCTGGAGAAGTTCTAGGCAGCAAAGAGAAATTGTGGCCAAGGCATTGCATCTAATAAAAGAAACGGGGACCCAGGTCCCAAGGGGTTGGCACAGGCAGTGTGGGTTAACTGGTGCTCACACGTAAACCTTGCCAGTGTGTTCTAGCAGCTGGGCTGGTGTGTACATGTTCCATCCAGAACTCTGACCCCTTAGGCTTCTTCCTTTACTTCCTCAAGGCTTCTGACTCACAAATAAATCAATCCTCTATGGTGTCATTCTCCTGTGTCACTTTCTTTGTCCTAGCTGTCCCTCTAGGGTAGCACCCAACTGGAGTGTTGCAAGCTGTAATACATACATTGGTGAATGATTGTACCTGTCAATCATTTCGCTGGCTCATGGAGAAGGTTCAGGAGCTACAAGAATCAAGATGGCAGGAGGACCTTGGAGGAAGATACTGAGACTCTAGAAAGAATGGGGAGGTGAGGTTTGGGATATTTGAAGTGGCAAATAAGAGGGAGAATTGCTGCAGAGACTGAGACCTTCTGAACTCTGACTCAGAGTCCTGACACCTGCTTTCTGAGCAGGATGGATGCTTGATATATTGAGACAACCTGACACAGCCACTGGAAAACTCAAAATGAGATTGGGGAGAGGAACTTTGTAACTCTTGCAACCCACAGAGACCCTGTTGAAAGCAACAGGAGACTACAAAATATATTAAAATACCTGTGTGGGTATGCATAATGAAAGTCAGCCCATGTCCTGGAATGCCCATCGGCATTAGTGATGGGTACCTGTTTTCTGTCATAAGGACAAATAAAATTTTACCCAATGAATACGCTGTTGTAGGACATTTAGGTTATTTCCATTCTTTCCCCAATAGAGACAACAGTGTAAGCAAAATCTACACACTCGCTAACAAATTTCCACTTAGGAGATACTCCTCCACCCCAACCCCCACTGCTAGGATTTACCAGTGAAACTGACATTTACATCTTTAAATGTTCTGTGAGGTTTTTTTGTTTTTTTTCCCCCCCGCACTCTGACGCTAGGGATTTATTTTTGTTTTTGTTTTTTGAAAGAGAGTTTCTTGTAGCCCGGGTAAGCCTTAGATGCCTCATTTTCCTGCCTCTATTTCCCAAGTGCTGGGATTACAGGTCTATATTACCTTGCTTGCTGCTTGATTTTAAATTGTAAGAATCTGCCTCTGATTAGGATTGCTATGTTTTTTGTTTTGTTTTGGGTTTTTTCCTAACCCTTATTGAGTTCCATTTTGGTTTTTTGTTGTTGTTGTTTGTTTCTTTGTCTGTTTTTCCAATACAGGGTTTCTCTGCATACCCTAGCTATCCTGGAACTTGTAGACCAGGCTGATCTAGAACTCTGCCTCTGCCTCCCAAGTGCTGAGATTAAAGGCATTCACCACCACGCCCCACCAAATTTTCAACATTTTTATTGCTACTGCCTTTCCCCTTTTCATTTTTGAAACAGCTCATGTATCCCAGGCTGACCTTGGATTTCTGCTCTTCCTGCTTTGACTTATCAAATGCTGGGATTGCAGTTTTGCACCACTTCATCTGGAGTATTTGGTACTGGGCATGGAACCTAGGTATTATGCATGCTGGGCAAGCACTGTCAATGAGCTAGGCTCAAACTCTCCATCTTCCCATTTCACTTCCCACCCCTTCCACTATTCTTAGAAGAGGGTAGAAAACAATATAGAACTGAGCCTGAGCTTGGAATTCTGTGCTTCTGCCACTCTACCTGGGCTGGAGAGGTGGCTTAGTGAGAGAGAACATGCTCCTCTGGCAAAGGACCTGAGTTTGGACCTTAGCACCCACATTGGGCCTCTCACAACCACCTGTGACTCTAGCTCCAGGAACTCTGATGCCCTCTTCTGGCCTCTGCGGGCACCTGCAACTCACATGCACACACCCATTACACACACAATTAAAATAAATCCTTTTTTTTTTTTTTAAAGAAGAAATGACTATTCTTCTCTGGGCCTCAATTAGCTATAAGCCAGAGGAAATCCTAATTGTTGAGAAGATTGTTAAACAAAATTATCAGAGGACACCATTTTAGATTGAATTTCTGCACCAGGCTCCAACAGACCAAACAAAATGGAGTCCCCCATGCTAAGTACTGCATTATTAACTGAAATTTTAAAGAAGCACACCGATCCTAAACCAAACCAGATTGTCCTAAAAATAGGAGATTTTAGTCCTTTCTGCTGTAAGATGTGAAAGTGCACCCTGAACCGCCCTAACATTAACCAATCAGGTTTTTTCCTACTGTTTTGTTTCCTTGTTCTCACCTCACAGAAACCATCCTACTTCTGCCCAGCAGGAGCGCTCATTCTAATTTGTGAATAATGCCTAATTCATGAATCAAAGTCAGTGAGACTCTCAATCAAATTTCTTGCAGTTTTTCCCTGTGAAATCAGATAGACTATCAAAGCCCTTCCCAAACCATTAAACACTCCTTAAATAAAAGATACCCACAGGAAGCCATCTTCCTTCCACTGTGCTTTTCTGCCCTGAACATATCTTCTTCGTCTCTTTCTCCCCAATCCAGAGCCCACCCATGTTCCCCAGTACTCAGGAATACTTCTTCCTGTCTAATATCTTCCCTTCCTACCTGCGCCCTCTTTAAAACTAACAAAAAACAAAAAAGGGTCTTACGTAGTCCAGGTCTCAAAATATATGTTTAAGCCAGGTGGTGATAGCACACATCTTTAATCCCAGCTCTCAGGAGGCTGTGAATTTGAGGCCAGACTGGTCCACAGAGTGAGTTCTAGGATAGCCAGGGATACATGGTGAAACCTGTCCCAAAGAACATATGTTTATTATTTATGTGCAGGTACATGTTTGTGTATGATGCCATAGAGCACTTGTCAGAGAACAACCTAGGGCAGTGGTCCTCAACTTCCACCTAGTGGCTTTTATGTAGGCTCCAGAGAACAAAGATAGGTCATCAGGCTTGTGTAGCAGG